AGAAATTAAATAGCTGTGTATATGCATTTTGGTTTACTGCCATATTACATTCCAAAGTCATCTTTCCCTTTCATTAATTACTCCTAATTGTTAGCTTTGTTTCCATTCTTGCTTCATTCACATCTTCAACACTGTCACCAAGGTCTTTATAACACAGAAATACAATTTTGTGGTTTCTGAATTTGAAGTCTTTCAATGGATTATTGCTTATAGGAGAAAAATGTTCTTAGTATGGCATAGAGAGCCTTCTTTTTTAATATAACTTTATTTAATTAATTAATTTATTTTTATGTGGTGCTGAGGATTGAACCCAGTGCCTCACACATGCCAGATGAGTGCTCTACCACTGAGCCACAACTCCAGCCCCTAGAAATTCTTCTTTAACTTAATGTTCCTTAATTCTTTAACTTAGTAAATCACCATTCCCCTACGTATACTGACATTTTAGGCATATTAGATAATTTTGGGAAAGGAAAAGGGGAAATCAATTCTGGATAGATTCCCAATAAATGGTTAATATAGGGGAAGCCATTTTAATGGTGGACATATTTGGTAGACAACTTAATTCACTTAACAATGTCAATATATGGTTAAAAGGACATCTGTCAACATTATGTTTGTAAGATTGTGTTCAGTTGGGCATGTTAAATTCTACCTCTTTTTACAAAGATTTTTCTGCTTACAATTGATATAGACATTTTTTGGATTTCATATGCAGTTATTATAGTGCTCTTATAGGATGTTTCTGAACCATAGTGGTAGTTTATTTAAAGAGTTTTGAAATTTATAGTGCCAAAATGAATTAAAAGAAGTACCAAGTTCATTGAGGGAGGAGATTAGTAGAGAAGAGTGGATAAGGGAAATAACTAATTGCCAGCCTATTATGTTTGTATTAACATAGGTTACTGTCATTCCTGGTATCCTTTGGTGACTGATTCCAGGACCCTTACACACAGATACCAAGATCTGTTGACGCTCAAATCTGTTATGTAAAATGGTATGGCATTGTATACCACTTACACATACCCATCTATTTTTAATCATCTCTGGATCTTATAATAGCTATAATACTTATAATACCTAATGCAACGTAAATGTTGTGTAAATAGGTGTTACACTCTATCCTTTAGGGAATAGTGGCCAGAAAAGAAAGTAGGCATGTACTGTACTGACTTAATTTTTTTCTGAATATTTTTGATTAGTAATAGGTTGACTTCACAGATGAGGAACCCATGGATATGGAGAGCTGACTATATATGCAAATGCTCTGCCAATTTATATAAGAGTCTTGAACTCTGGTGGTTTAGTATCTGTGGGAGGTCCCATGACCAATCCCCCATGATACCAGGAGATGAATATACTCCAAAATTTAGCAACTAAAACAGCACATTTATTATCTTCTAATTTTGAGTGTCAGGAATTTGGGAGCAGCTTATCTTGGTGGTTCTGGCTCAGACTCTTTCCTGGGGTTGCAGGATCTTCTCCCAAGAAGGCTCACTCATATGGCTTTGGCAGAAGGTCTAATTTTTTTGCTGGTTGTTGGTAGGAAGCCACAGTTCCTTGCTGTGTGTATATCTCCATTGGACTACTGTGTGGCAGGTTGTGTCCCCCTGTGCAAGTGATCTAAGAGGTGAAAGAGGAAGCCACATTGCTCCTTATGACCCAATCCTGGAGTCACAAAATTACTTCTGCCCTATTCTCTTGGCTAGAAGCAAGTCACAATACCCAGCCTTCACACAAAGGGGAGCACAGTTAAGTGCCACTTCTTGATGGAAATTGCAACAAAGAATTTGTGAGCACATTTTAAAACCATAAGTGATATATTTGGAAATTAGATAATAAGATATGACATCTCCAGTTTGAAAATAAATGCTAATTGAATCTGCTTTTAAGTAAAATTGCCTCTGTAAATCAAAGTCCTTTCTGTAAAATGCAGTCTACATTGACTTCAATTTTAGGTTATGGTTCATAGTGATGCATTTTTCTAATTGAACTATTAATAGATTTTTATCATGAATAAATAAAACTTAAGCTTTTGGAGTTTGCTTCTCATTCAAGGAAAAAGAATCTTATTTACTTGTAAATGATCTAGTTTTCAGTTGTTTCTCAAACAGTTGAAATTTTTGGAATACAAAATGGTGCACAAGTGGGAGAAGGATATGAGAGTTATTTATAGTGGACGGGAATCCTTCTTCACAAATCTTTAAGTATGTAACTATTCTTTTGATGTTTGGAAGGTTAAATACTTTATGGGCCAGAGTTAGCCATGATGACTATAATGACAATGATGTTAGCAGTAAACATTTATTTGAGTACAGTAGTTTCCTCTTATACATAGCTGATGTATTCCAAAATCCCCAGTGAAGGCCCGAAACCATGTGTAGTAGTGAGCTCTATATATATATAATGTTTTTTCCTATATGTCCTGCTGCTTTGTCATATAGTACCCAAGTTAACCTATCTTTCCAAATTCTGTGTTCTGATGCCTCCTTTGCATCCCTGCTCTTGAACTTTGGGGCCATTGTTAAGTAAAATAAGGGTTACTTGACTCTAAGCACTTTGATAATTGAGACACCTATTTAAACAGTTAGAAACATAGATATGCTAGACAAAGGAATAATTCACATTCTGTTCTAGATAAGAAGGGGTGGGACAGCATGAATTTCATTACCTTAGTTTAGTTAAAACAGTGCACAATTTAAAACATGAATCGTTTCTAGGATTTTCTGTTTAATATTTTCAGATCACAGTTGACCATGAGTAACAAACTGCAAGACTGATGACAAGGAGTACTACTGTACTTCCTATTTAACAGGCTTTATTTGCAGTGCTTTATATTTAATCCTAGTACCTTGTGAGGTAGATTTTTATTTTTTATTTTTTTAATTTTCGGTACTGGGGATTGAACCCAGAGGAGCTTAACCACTGAACTACATCCCCAGCCCTTTTTTGCTTTTTCATTTTAATTTTTTTTATTTGTTCTTTTTAGTTATTTTATTTAGAGACAAGGTCTTGCGGGCTGGGGATGTGGCTCAAGCGGTAGCGCGCTCGCCTGGCATGCGTGCGGCCCGGGTTCGATCCTCAGCACCACATACCAACAAAGATGTTNTCAGCACCACATACCAACAAAGATGTTGTGTCCGCCGAGAACTAAAAAAAAAAAAAAATAAATATTAAAAATTCTCTCTCTCTCTCTCTCTCTCTCTCTCTCTCTCTCTCCCTCTCCTCTCTCACTCTTTCTTAAAAAAAAAAATAAAAAAAAAAAATAAAAAAAAAAAAAGGTCTTGCTTAGTTGCTGAGGCTGGCTTTGAACTCATGATCCTCCTGACTCAGCTCCCAGGCTGCTGGGATTATAGGCATGTGCCACTGTGCCCAGCTAGGTAGATATTATTATTATACTCCTCTATACAGATGTGGTTGTGAGGAACAAAGAGATTAAGTAAGTTGCCCAAAGTCACACATCTAGCAAAAGGAAGACTCAGATTCTAAGCCTGTTCTGCTTAGCATATGGTAAGCATTCAGTAGTACTTTTAAATACTATCAAAGCAGTGATTCAGTATGTGTAATCACTGAATAAAGAAGACATCTTTTTAAAAAACGTGTGTTCAGTTTAGATGGTTGGTATTCATTTCTTTTGTGTGTGTTTATTTCTTTTGATTTTTATTATATTTTACTAATTCTCTTCAGTTACCTTTCTTATAACCAATTTGTTCAGAAGAAGAAAATGGATGCCAGGACAGTGTGGTGGTTAAAAGTGTATACTCAGGAGTCAGAGGGCCTCATTTCCAAGTCTAGAATGATTGCTGATTAGTATTGTAACTGTGAATCATTGTTGCAACCTTGGGAAGTTTTCTTAACTTCATTAAAATAAGGTGTTCACATTTAAAAGAGGATAATAGGAATATTTATTTTGTTTTTGGTACCAGGGATTGAACCCAGGGGCGCTAAACCACTGAGCCACATCTCTAGCCCCCCCTTTTTTTTCGAGTCAGGGTGTCTCTCAGTTGCTTAGGGCCTTGCTAAATTGCTGAGGCTGTCTTTGAACTTGTAGTTCTCCTGCCTCAGCCTCTGAGCTGTTGGAATTATAGGTGTACACCACCATGCCCAGCAGAATACTTATCTTAAGAGAATAGTTGTAAGCATTAAATAGTGCCTGTATTGTACCTGGCATATAGTAAGCAAGAATGATTAATAATTGTACTATCCATTATAATAATTGTATTAATCCTCAATTTTTCCCTACTTTGAATAAGAATAATGACTTCCTCAGGTAATAACTTTGTAAAGTAAGATTAATTTGTAAAGTAAGATTAATTTCTTACAGAGATTTTTTTCAGCCTTGCTTTAGCCTTTCTTATTTTTTCTTTCTGGGGTTTTATATTTGTCATATAGCCTGTACAAACTCTTGTCTTCAGGAAGCAGGAGCCCAAGTGCCTAGACTGTGGGGAGTCTAATTTGGGAATCACCTTATTTGGGTAGAGCCCTGAGCTTCATGACAAGTAAACTATTGATTAACTGAATTGTCATTCTATAGGTGCTAAGGTGAAAATAGAAAAGAGTTGGTAAGTTTGAAACAGACAGAGAAGTAGAACCCTTAAGAAATTCGCTGTGCCAGAAAGAATGTCTGAAGTCACTTTTAATAGAGCATATAAAGCTTTAGCTTTAAATATGTTCTGTTAACACATTCAGGTTTTGTTTTTTTTTGATTAGTAATTAACATTCTAGCAAACTTTTTCAGAGTTTATAGAAATACTATTGGAGATTTCTTTTCTGATAAGTGTGACATTGTCATAAAAGTATGTACTATAAAAAGCTAAAAAATGTTTACTTAGTGAAATTTATGGTTGCCTGTGTGATAATTTTCTTGCAGAAATGTGCTTTCTTTTCAACTCTGCCTACTTCATGGCAGTTTTTCTCATTTCTTTTTTAGGATTAAAAGCATCAACTGGAATCAATTTGCATTTGAAAATTGGATCAGCACAAAGACTTGATATTGTGGAATGCCTAGTAAACAAGCAATGTCATCTAAAGAACAAGAGAGGCTCTTGTGTTATAATGGAGAAGTCCTTGTTTTTCAGTTGTCTCAAGGAAATTTTGCAGATAAAGGACCTGCAAAACCATCCACATTACATGTCAAAAGAATGGTGTTTGATAGAGAAACAAGAACATTTGTTCTGAAGTCCACTGGGTTCTTTAGCATGAGAAAAGAATACTCTCATTTAAAAATTCTATGTTGCAACTGTGTGTCAGATTTCAAAACTGGAATTAACCTCCCTTACATTTTGATGAGAAGCAATAAAAATAACATTTTCAAATATTTTCTACTGTGTCTTCACAGTAACAATAGATTTGAAAAGCATTTGACTTTTAAACTATCCCATGAGTTGAAGGACAGCATAAGGGTTCTTAATGGCCCTTTAATTTTATGGCAATATGTCAAAACATTGTACTGTATCTCTTCCCACACTCGCAATGTAATTAGTGTGTCGGTTAACTTTTCCTCTATTGAATGGGCAGGGGAGATTGGAAATCTAGGTATAGTTTTATTGGGACTAACAGAATGTGATTCATCTGAGGAAGAATGCAACCAAAAGCCCTCAGAATCTGATTTTGCAATTCAGAATACCAAATTTTGTGTATATTCTCTTAAAAATCAAGAAGTATTAAGTGATACATATATTATCCCTCCTGCTTATAGCAGTGTGGTTACTTGTGTGCATGTCTGCACAACTGAGATTGTCAACAACCAGTTTAGAATGTCTCTGATTGCCCTTACTCGAAAGAATCAGCTGATTTCATTCCAAAATGGGACTCCTGAACGTTTGTGTCAGCTTCCATTTGAAGATCCTTGTGCTGTTCAGCTTCTGGATTCAGGTGAAGGAAACCTCTTTTTCATTGTATCATTTAGGTCCAATGATGCTTGTGCTGTTTGGAAAAAGAACTTTCAGGTACAGTGCTTAATCTCTAATAATTCAATTGGTGGTCTGATACCTTTTAAGCATTTCTGTGATTCATGGAGTTCACCCTGAAGTTTTATTATCTAAATGAATTTTTATAGTTCTGACTTTAAAGTCATAAGTGTCACATTGTTCTTTTTTCTTAACGTTAGCTGAATACCACCTGATAATTTTTTTGTATTGTCATTTTGAATTTGGAAATATATAAATACATAACTATATGTAATTCTTTGTCTTTTGATATAACTATTTTTAACTTTTTAAAATATAATCATGTCAGATAACCTAGGTTAAGGGAAATAAAATAATTGTATTTGATCACTACTACTTAGCACTTAAGACAAAAAAGTAAATATGCTAGATTTGTGATTGAACATTCTGAAAGGGAAATTTTTTTCTAACATTGAGTTCTGAAAGGAATTTACTGTTTGTGGTATTATGTAAGAGGTTTTGGATAATAAAGTGAAGACCTTATTAAATAATAAGATGATCTCTTTGATAGCAGTTTTGTCCCCAGAAGCAATCTTCCTTTTGGGTGGCTATGGATCCATCTATCCATTCTTTTACTACCTCTTTCCAAGAAGAAATTAAGGCAACTTACAAAGATAGGTAAAATAAAACAACCATAAATCTGAGTAAATAATGAAAATCAAGGTTAGTGTGCTCCCAGATCAGCTCTTTTTAAAAGCCCCAGGTATGTTTAATCCAGTGATAGGACTTGAAACAGCTGAGTCTCTCTCAAGAGAAATTGTCTCTGCAAGTTTTGACAAGAATGTTTGAAGCAGGCGTTTCAAAACTGAGGTCATTGTCAGGTATACCTGAATCAAATATTGATATATTGTCAATAGGAAAAGAGCTGTGTGTCTGATGTGGTAGCGACTAGCCATGTTTGATTATTATTCAATGCTTGATATGTGTCTGGTCTGGATTAAAATGTGTTACGAATGTCAAATATATATAAGATTTCAAAGACTTGGTAAAAAATAAAGTAAAATATCTCCATTTTTAAAATTGACTACATTGAATTAAAATAGTAGTATTATGGATGTATTAGGTTAAATGCAGTTATGTCTCTATCTGAGGGTTCTATATCCAGGAGTTTTGCCAACTTTTTTGTATGCTTATTCTGTGAGCAATACAGTATAATCACAATCATATAGTATTTACATAATATTAGGTATTATTAGTAATGTAGAGATGAATATATGGGAAGATGTAGGTGGTATATGCAGGTAATCCAGGAACCAGTCTTCCACCAATATTGAGGGGTGACTGTATGTATATTAAAATTAGTTTCACCTTTTCACTGCTCCTAGAAAGTTTAAAATTATGTATGCCATGCATTTGTGGCTCACCTGTATTTGTATTGGATAGCCGTTCTCAAAGTGTAGATTACCCATGTGTGTATTCATGCATGCCAGCTCTCTGATGTTTGCATGCTGAGCACATTCTCATTACTAATGTTTCTTCCTAAAGTTCATTAAGCTCCATGATAATCTTGGGAGGGTTCTGGATTTTCAAATAAACAGTCTTCCAGCACAAGTGAAGAAGAATCATAGCTTTAGAAATTATCCCAAGAGGGGTAAGATTAATATTTGATTATATAGATTGAAGACCCTTACTTAACATTGTAGCCCTAATACAAGCCATCCTCCTGTGTCATCTGGATGTGCCTCTGCTCCTAGATTCTGAGTGAGGCTTTTCTGCCCCAGGGAGAAAGGGGAATCTCATCCTCATGGTGTTAATTTTCCAAGGGATCAATGTGGAGGCTTTCAGCTTTATGGACCTTTAAGTAGCTGTCTTCCATTTCAGATTTAGGGGTCTCCTGTTCTAATATAAACTGGCCAAATCAAGCATCATGGGATGCTTCTAGGTGTCCCACTGTTTATGGTCATTTACCTTTGGGTTCCCCTGATAATAGCTCTGTCCCCCCTCCCCAGGGTTTAAGCATATAAGTTTATCTTGATGCTCTTTTAAGTTAATCTGCTTTGAGTGTTCTTAAGTGTGTACTAGTAGTGCCAGTTACTGAATATAACTGAATTCTTTGGGTAATTGTTCTTATTCATAGATACATATACACTAAGGCTTATGGGAATGAAGGTTTTCCGTAAATTATCCTTGATAGAAAAAGAATCTTCACTAGAGTTTTACTCATGATAGAAGTTAGGATTTACAAAAGATTTACTTATGAGAAGTGTTAGAATTTATAAATAGCTTATAATAGGACATTCATAGAGAAATCAGGAATTTGACAGTCCTTGGACAAACATTAATAAAGCATTAAATCTAGGTACCTTGTTGGTATTTATGACGTTGTTTTAATGCCTTGTGTTTTCTGATCCCTATTTTAATTTTTAAACTACCATTTTCATTACCCATTTGTAATATTGAGGATAACAAATTACTCCATGAAAGAAAAGGACTTATTTATATCACATCTGATTTTTTTTCTTCTCTATTCCTCTTTAAATGTGCACTTTCTCTCAGATTGCTGCTAAGTGGGAAAAACTTAACTCAGTACTGATAGATGACTTTGTTGGAACTGGAACTGAACAAGTACTGCTCCTTTTTAAGGACTCCTTGAACTCATTTAAAATAACAAATCTTGACAAAATAAATTATTCAGTAAGTTCTTTTATTGTATGTTATTTTAAGTCCTGTATTAAGAAATTTTGAGTACTTCAGAGCTTTTGACACACCATTTAAATATTTGTTCTTTTATACTTAAACTTTTGAATTTTAAAAATATATAGATTGAATCTTTTAAATATATACATTGAATCTCTCAACAAATATTATACAAACTGACTTTATATAAATTTGGAATATGGTATATCTGATGGTCATTCAAATGACATTAATACTATAACTTTGTTGCTTCTGAAAAATCAATTTTTATAACAATAAACATGATAATACTGTGTTAAGGAGTAAAATAAAGTGAAACTTTTTAAAGAAGTAATAGTTCAAAATATCTTGAAATCTTGAACATAAAAGAAATTATAGCTCTGCAGTTTAAATCTGTGGAAAATCTTTCCAAACCTCAATTTTTTTTTAGTTGTAAGATGAACATAATTCTTATAATCTCTAGTTAAAGGTTTTTATAATTTTATAGAAAGCTAATGGACTAATACTTTTAAAGCATGGTTTTAATTTTAAGTAGTAATAGTAATAACCATAGTAATTTTATCTAGTTACAAGGAGATAGGGAAATACAATTTGCTTTTCATAAAATTGAGGGTAATATTTGAGTGGATAAATTTTAATCATATTTTATTAATCTTAAAATTTTCAATTTTATTTCAAATTTTATTTGTTTTATTTTTTTTAGAGTCACCCATTGAATTGTAATGAAGATGATTTATTTGAAGACCAACCAGAACATTGTTATTTGATGATTCCACCATTGGAAAAAAGATTAAAAGTTAGTGTCTTTATTTGCTTTATGCTTTTGATTTTTTTAAAAAAAAAATTATTCTTTTTAGATATATATGACAGCAGAGTATATTCTGACATAATATAGATACGTGGAGTATAACTTATCCTAATTAGGATTCCATTCTTGTGGTTGTATATGATGTGGACTTTCACTGGTCATGTATTCATGTATGAACACAAGAAAGTTATGTCTGATTCATTCTACTGTCTTTCCTATTCCTACCCTACTTCCCTTCATTCTGCTTTTGATTTTTGATGAATGGTATTCTAAATTAAGGAAAGAACACTGAAAGAAAGGTGCTTAAAGTATAAACAGCTTAGCACTTAGGGTAAAATGGTATTTCAAAGGATCTTTACCTTTTTGGCACCTGTGTAAAAGCTATTATAGCATTATTTAAAATATATCATCTAAAAATCACATCTCTTTATAGTAAGATTGTGTAGATTTAATAAGCCTCATGAGACAAAATATAAGAGGCTCACTTTTGAAAACATTCTTTCTGGCCTACAGAATTGATATACCACAGTATCTCCTTTAGAGGGGTACCAAATATGATAAATCATAACACGTTTCAAACATGAAAAGTGTACCCTCAAGTTTTCCATAAAAAATTCTCTTAAAAAATCTTTTTTTTCCCTCAAATGTACTAAAGTAATGTATATCTCCCATAAAATACTGAGATTTTTGCTAGTAACTACTGAAAAGAAACTAACAAGTATCTATGTAAAATACCAACTTTAACACATTCATGTTTATATTCTTATAGTTTTATTATGATTTGATGCAAATATATATGGAAATGAGGTTGTAAGTTGAATGTTTTTAATCTGCCTTTTTATTTTTGTATATATTTATGTTTTGTTATATATAAAATAGTCAAGTAAATATATTAAAAAGTTTGAAGAATATAGTGATTAACTCTGTAGTACCCATGTAGATTCAACTATTATTTATTTTTTAATGTTTTGAGATGGTGTTTTGCTCTTTTGCCCAGGTTGTTCTTGAACTTTTGGGCTTAATATTCCTTCTTTAGCCTCTTCAGTAGCTGGGTCTACAGGCATGTGCCACTGTGCTTAGCTCTTTTATTACGCTTTAAAAATCATATTTGCCTCATCTGTGTGTGTGTGTGTGTGTGTGTGTGTGTGTGTGTGTACACACACATATTTGTAGAACCCTGTGAAAATTACAAATGTTAAAATACTTTATTCCCAAGTATTTCAGCTAGAATCTCCTAAAAATAAGGGCATTACCACAATATCATTATCACAATGAGAAAATTAATCTTGCTGGTCGTGGTGGCATATGCCTGTCATCCTAGTCTGAGTCTGAGACAGGAGGATCATGAGTTCAAAGCCAGCCTCAGCAATTTAGCAAGGCCCTAAGCAAGTCGGCGAGACCCTGTCTCTATATGAAATACAAAAAAAGGGCTGGGGATGTGGCTTAGTGGATAAGTGCCCTGGTTCAATCCCTGGTACCAAATTAAAAAAAAAAAGAAAAAGAAAATTAATCTGAATCCCTTAATCTTATTGATTTAGTCCATATTGAAATGTATTGTTTTGTTAAAAATATGTTTTTTTGTGTATCCTTTTTCAGTATCCAATCAGAGTTCATATCTATATTTGGTCATCATATCTCTTGTTGTTCTTTTCATGTAGAATAATACTCCTTCCTACCCTCCCCTGTTTTTAAAATGACTCTAATAAGGAGACCAGGCCAGTGGTCCCTCCTTTCTTGTCTGTTTCCTTGTAGTGTCATTTAAGTTTTTTCTGTCCCTAGGATTGGCAGACTTTTTTTCTGGAAAGAGCTGCATAGTGAGTTTTAGTACTTTGTAGGCCTTTTTAAAATTCTTTCATAGCTTTTTCATTTATTAAAGTGAATTTACTAAATGCTTATTAAACACAGATAAGAATGTGAACAGTAGATAAATAAAACAGGTTAAGAGATGTAGAACCATAAAGGAAGAGATTAATATATTAAAAACTTTTGAAGCCTGAACAAAGTAAAGTAAATAAAAAGTTGTGGGAAAAGATTATAATAAATGACAAAGGGTTATTTTCTTTAATATAAATGTGGCTTCTTACACAGAATTGTTGCAAATATTAAGTGGTCCTACATTCTTAGGGGGAAACTTGTTATAGCTATTGAAATGTGAATCACATGTATCTTTTTTATTATCACAGTTTCACTTCTAGAAATCCTATTCTAAGGATGAAGATGAATTTTTTTTGGATGTTAGGGATTGAACCAAAGGCTTCATGTATGCTGAGCACACAATTTACCACTCAAGTGCCAAGGTGGTTTCATAAGGATGCTTATGTAGCATTTACAAATAATAAGAGTGTTAAAGGGTAAATCCATATCTTTAAGAATTGTGGTGAATGAATCATGATATATCCAAAACATGGAATATTATATAGGTGTCAAAAAGAATAAGATATTTTTATATTGATTTAGAAATGAAGCCATAATAGGGTAGTTTATGAAAGCATGTATTTATAAAAGGTTTGTTTTATAAAGCAGGCCAACTCTTCTGATTAAAAAATAACTTAGAATATAGATGAAAAAAATTTGAAGTTTCTTAAAAGCTCTAACAACCTGACACAATATAAGAACAAATTATTAAATTAAATTTTTAAGTCTGGAACCCAGAGAAACAAGCAAAATACTGATGCTTCTTTTGCCCTGGGAGCATATTTGAACCTTCATCAGTGACAGTGATGCCCCAGGCACTTGGCAAAAACAAATATAAAATCCTCTCTGGAAATACACATTTATCCCAGTCCTCATAGAAATCTCACAATTTTTTTTCAAAGAAAATAAGCCACTCACAGAATAATAGCACATACAAAACAAGGCATCATAATTAATCACTCACAGAAAGTCACCAAATACTATTTTTTCCCAATTAAAGAAGCTCAACAGAGGACTTTAATAGTTAAAGTGTTGAAAGAAATGTAAAGCAAATTAGCGAATCAGCATGTATTAGAAAAATGATCCAGAAAATTTCATAAAGGTAAGGAAACTATAAAAGGTTTTAAACAATATAAAGAGAAAGCATGGACATACGAAGGTGAGGGATAAAGATACTGTAGTGTCCTTTTTAAGAATACACATTAATAGCAGCTGTCAGTGTGGATAATAAAGTTCTAATGTTGGTAGCCATTTAAGAAGTTAGCAAGTCTTCCTTTCCCCCATCTTACACATGAGGAAACAAATAGAGAACCAGAAAAGTGGCTTGCAGAGCTAGAGCTAGAGTCCATTGTACTGTTCTTTCTGCCATGAAATTTATTTTAACTAGTCTTGTGATTCACTGTTTAGTCCTGTGGCTGGGGATATACTGAAGACAGAGGGGGAAAGACACCACAGCTAGTTTTCTGAGGGTTCATTTTCAGTCTGCCCACATAGTACTTTCTTCTACTCCATACCCATCCAGCAACTCAAATTTGGCTACATATCTCTGATGAGTACATCTTCTACACAAACCATGAGTTACTGAGTGAATGAGTGATGGACCATGAAAGATGTGTAACTCACAGAACTAGGTCAACAAGAGAAGTTTAAAATATTAGATAGAAGTTTAAAATATTACATAGACACTTTATATACTTTGTACAATGAGGTTAAGATATAGAAATAATTCAGTCTTTACATTCTAACTTAAATTCATTGATAAAAATAAAATTGGCTTGCCTGAAAACTTAAGGAATCCAGAAGAAGAATGTATTTTGTTTTTTAAATATAAAAAGATATGTTTTATTAAAAGCTAGATTAATACTTAAAGAGCCTCAGATAGCCATCTGAAATGAAACAACTTCTATCAGTTCAATGACATAACCCTTTAAATTTTCAGTGCAAAATATATTCCATGAATGTTTCATCCTTGGTGCTGAAATCTGTTTATCTGGTATAATAAAAGGAATGTGTTGCTATATGCCTAGTTCAGTGCTAAATTTGTATTTTTTTTCAGTAATTTTCAGTATTTTTTTTCCATGAGAGTTCATCCTAGCACTGAGTTTATTGATGCAAAAATCAACTTATAACATGTCAGGGTTGTTATGTGTCATCTTTAAAATTTTGTTATATGAACAGAGGGTTTCATACAATCATATTCAGAGTAATCATTTCTATTCATGATGATGTCTTTGCTTATATGGAGGCTTTGTTTTTGAAGCAGAAATTATTTCAACAAGAAAAAAGTTTTTGATGAGGGTGAGAGGATTAATAGGATTTGATTCTTATCCGTATTGATTCCTAGTTACTTAACTCAATACTGAAATGGATGCTACTAGATTAACATTCTTTCAGTTTGAAACATAAACTCTATATTGCAGTTATATGCTGTATTTTCCTTTGAAAAAGAATACTTCTTTGTAATTAGGCTTTAAATCTATAAATAAAAATTTCTGCTCTGAGAAATAGTCTCTGCTTTTTTATAGAAAAATGAATTGAAAAACACATTTGGAGAAAGTACATCCTGAATTAATGGTATGCCTGGTTTCATTTGAAATTATGACTCTGGCAACTATTTTTCTTTCTACTTTACAGGTTGGTTTGGCTTCTGTTCAGGAATTACAGCAGCATCTCTTGCTTAAGGAGAAAATTATTTCGAAATCTTGGAGAGCTTTAATAAATTTGGTTCAAGGAAAAGATGATAGTACATCAAGTGCAGAGGAGGTAAAATTAATCGTGGCCATTTTATCATTTTATGCATCAAAAATCTGCAAGCTGTTGAAGAGTTATTAAAATTGGAATGTTGGAATATATTAGAAAATGCTGTGCAGTAGATCAAGAACAAAAATGGCAGGGATTATAATGGTGAACTTTTATGGCATTGAAAAATATTTGATTAAGGAGCCAATATTTTACCTACTTGCATGCAATCCTGTAGGATATTAAATCTTGGTTAATTAAATTAAATTTCAGTTATCAGAAACCTTGAGGAACAAGTTCTGTTAATTTAAAAAAAGATTTAACTATTAACTTTTATTTGTATGATTTAGATAGGAATTACTCATGAGTAAATTACATATTTCCTGAATTTGTAAATAGAATATACTGAGCATTATTTGACCTTATATTAGTGATGACATAATTTCATCATTAGCATGATGATTGTTCTTTTAGTCAATTGCATTGTTTATTTCTAAGAATATTTATTCCTCTACCCCTTTGCTGTGTTTTCTTAGTACTTCTATGTGCATTTTATAATTTAACTCTTTTTTCTTTGTGGCTGACCATCATATGATCCTCTTCAGGTACCCTGCAGTTACTTATGCTGGTACAGTAATGTTAAGAGTTAGTATAAACTGTTCAGACTTCATGAAAAGTAGTGTTTATGCATATTAATTACATACAGAGAAAGACCAGCATTGCACAATTGCATAGAGAAACTATGTGGCATTTTGTTTTCTCAAGTCCACTGTTGTGCCTTGCCCTGACTTCCTCTATATTGACCATTCTTTATTTTTTCTTTTTTATTAGTTGTAGATTATTTATTTATTTATATGTGGTTGTGAGGATCAAACCCATTGCCACACATGCTAGGCAAGCACTCTACCACTGAGCCACAACCCCATGCCCTATATTGGCCATTCTGTGTCCCCTGCCTGCATTTTATTCTTAGTAATATGAAGGGTTTGGTCCAAAAACGGATCCTGTTAATGTAAAAAACATAAGGAAAGCACATCATGTATTTCTTTATCACTGTTCTAATTTCCTGGGAGACCTCAGAAAAGTCATTGTTAAAATTGAATCTCCCCATTCCCTTCCCAACTACTGCATTAATTTTGCTAGTATTATACAGAAGAAAGAATGTTTAGAAATGAATTGAAACCACTATGTTCAAGGCCCCATTTTGGGATCTTTACACTGTTAATTTTAAAAACAAGACTGGCAAGTAGTAACAATTTCCTCAGATTTCTGATGAATAGTCTGCCTCAGATCTCACAGCTTCTGGCCAAAGCCAGTAGGAACATGTTAGTGCACTGTTGTGTTGTAAGGGCCCATATCTTTTTGCAGTAATTACCACATAGAGACACAGAGTAGGCTGTTAGAGCACGGGCTCTGGAACCAGTATGCTTCAGTTCAAACCCAGCTCTGCCACTTGCTTGCTGCCTTACCTCTGGCAAGATACTTAACTTCTCTGTGCTTCATTTTCCTTATCTGTAAAATGTAGACAATAATACAACCAAGTCAGGATACTAGAGTTATTGTAAGGGTTAAATAAATTGATACATGAGTGGCATTTAGAACAGTGCCTGACATAAACAGTATCTCTACTACCACTATTTCTATTGTTCTTATAAATATACATGTTTGCAGAAATTACTGAGTATGACCTGGACATTAAGAATGAATTTTAACAATCTATAAACAAGTCCAAAAATAAGTTTAATTGATTTTATTAATACAAAAGTCTACAGTTATCAGCTTAGTGAGAGTTGCTGATAAGATATTGGATTGTGGGCAGGTTATGGCTCAGTGGTAGACCGCTTGCCTGGCACGCATGAGGCACTGAGTTCAATCCCCAGCACCACATAAAAAAAAAGACTAAACAAAATAAAAGTATCGTGTCCATCTACAACTAAAAAAATATATATATATTGTTTTTGGTATACCTGAAGTCCATATTGTTGGACTGATTCCATATTCACATCCCTGCTAGTTCTATGTTGGATAATTCATCTTGTTCCAGTCAGATCATGCTTGTTAATCTGAGAATATAATTAATGTTATGTTTTATACATTTTATTTTAGTAAATTATGTATAACATATAATATGGTATATTATGATTTATTTTAAAATGTTTAAACAGTAAGACCTGACCAAAAGCTAATTTACATTATTTTAATTTCGGTGCATTTGATACATTTTTTTGTAATCAGTTATTTAAACATATTTTTGTATAAGGGATATCTTGTTCCTTTTTGTGGTGAAGAAGAAAACTGTGTTCATACCTCTGATGAAAAGTTACCAGACAATTTTCAAGATCCAGAACAGCTAGTAGAGAAGTTGTGGTACCGTGTCATGGATGATAGCTTAATCGTTGGAGTGAAAACATCATCTTTGAAGCTGTGAGTAAATTCTGATGTGATAATGCTTTGCTAATGCTCTAGGTCAGCACTGTCCATATTAAAAAGTGTAAATAAAAGTAGATGAGATTAATTTTAATGATGTTTTTATTTAACTTACTATATTCTAAATATTATCATTGTAACATGTAATCAGTATCAAAATTGTTAATGATATTTTAGGTTTATTTTTTCATACCAAGTTTTTATATCACATTTTGGTTCAGACTAGCCCCATTCCTAATGCTCAGTACCATATATCTCTTGGCCAACATAGCTGTAGAAGTATCTCTTTTATACAAATACATTGAAGTTAATAATATGAAGAAAGTGCATTTACAAAATCAAGATGTTGTAGTCTCAGGGTAGACTTATGGGATTATTATTCAGATTTTATTAAACAACATATAGAGCTTTTTATCCAAACATTTGGAAATATTTCGAACATTTAGAGACTATTGACTAACATGGATTGGTGAAAATTTAATTAAGTAACAAAAGTGTCTGATAATAGAGGACTTTTCTCTTTTGAGATCATGTATAGGGAAGTAATGTCTATGTTATCTGCAGATTAGGAAAGAGCTTTTTAGACAAAATAGACTAAATATAGTATCATAGTGCTGCATTTAACCCCAAAATACACAAGCAGAGAGAGACCAGGTAGTTCCTTGTAGTATATGGCAGTATATTTGTGCAGCTCAACACAGTAGGAAATTTAGATTACTTACCCAGTAGATTTGAGATATGGATTTGTTCTTGTTTCTGTGAATTTCTAAGGAGTTTTGGACTGGTTGATTATATAGATTTTTTTGTCTCTTCTTTAAGTTGGTGAGTTATACTAACAATTTTCTATTGATGTCATGTTACTGAGATAAACCGAAATTTATCATTTGGTACATCCATAGATTGGGCTTGTTAATGTTTAGCCAAGAATATTTGTATTTCTGTTCATAAGTGAATTTGGCTTAAATTTTCCAAAACAATACTTGTTTGGTTTTAGTATCAAGGGTCTGGCCGTGTTGTCCAGGCTGGCCTGGAACTCCTGGACTCAAGTGATCCTCCCATCTTACCCTCATAAGTAGCTATGACTACGGGAATACACTAGCATGCCCAGCTTATACTATGTTATATTTATTCATTTATTTTTGTGTGTGATAGGGTCTCACTCTGTTGCCCATCTCATGGATTCATGAGCTCAAGTGATCATCCGTCCTCAGCCTTCTGAGTAGCTGGGACTACACCATGCCTGGACTTATACTAGTTTGTAAATGAGTTAAGGATTATTTCCTTTTTTCTGTTTTTCTAATTTGTGTAAGTTCAGAATTATTTGTGCTTTGATATTTGCTTGTACTGACCTTGAAAGCAGTGGAAACCTGGCCATTTTTTTCATGAGATATTTTTAAACTACTGATTCAGTTTCTTTAAGACTTATGGGATTATTCAGATTTTATTTATTCTTAAATGCATTTTGCTTATATTTTCCTAGCAATTTCTCCATTTCACCTGTCATCACGTTTATTAGTTTGTTTCCAAGAGATTCAGATATTTATCAACCATATTATCAGTCTTTTGTTTTCATTCCAAACCTTGTGTCTTGCTTTTTTTTCTTGATTACTTTTATTAGAAATTCATTCATTTTATTAGTCTCTTCAAATTTTTTATGTCAGTCTTCAATTGTATGTTTCCTGTTTTATTAATTTCTAATCTTTTATTATTTTCTTCTACTTTCTTTGGGCTTATTCTGTTATTAACAATTTCACTGTGATATGATTAGATATAGATATTGATTCGTTCTTCTTTAGGTCTTAGAATTTCCTGGCTCTAAGAAATGATTTTTAATTTTTTGGCAACTCGTTCTTAGTTATTATCTTTTCAAATATCGATGCCTCCCAGTTTCTTCTTTTTTTCTCTCATGGGATTCTACTTAATTCAGGAAGTCTTGTTAGGCCTGCTGATTCTATGTTCCATATCTTTTAACTTCTTTTTCATATTTTCTATTCATTTCTCAGTATGAATCCTAAGTAGTATATTCTATTCACTAATTTTATCTTCAGTTATCTTTATTCAGCTATTTAATCTAGTCAATGAATTTCTAATTTTTATTATGATTTGCACTTAAGTTTTATTTGCTCTTTTCAGATCTGCCTTGTCATTTTTTATTGTCTCTTGTATTTTCCACTTACCTTTTATTTCCTTAATGTGATAAACAGAATTACTTTTAAAATGTTTTTATATATAGAAAATTCCAAACATACTAAAAGAACAATATGGTGAACCTCATCTGCCCATCATTGAGCTCCAGTAATTCTCAACTCATTGCTAATCTTGTTTCATCTGTATCTCTATTTACTCCTTACCCCTATGCCCAGATTATTTTGAAGCAATCAAAGGCATCATTTTATTTCACCTGTAACTCTTCCAGTGTGTGTATCTAAAAAATAAGACTTAGAATATGAATGTAATCACCTCCTTAAAAATTACCAGTAATTTCCTCAGTAAACACTAAAATTTCTCACTTGTTTTCTATCAAAATATTTTTTCAAATCCGAGTAATATTTGTAAATTGAAGTTGACTGATTGATATCTCCAAGTCCCTCATAATGTATATGTGCCCTTTTCATGTTTTTTTTTGTATGTGTGTCTTTTATGTATTTGGAAGGAACCAAGCAGTAGACCTGTGAAGTTCTATAGACAAGATTTTTCTGATTTCATCCTGTTATTGCTTCACATGTTTCTCGGTCTCCTGTATTTCCTCTAAAGTAGTAGTTAAAACATGTTTCTCTGTCTCCTGTATTTCCTCTAAAGTAGTAGTTAAATCTAGAGCCTGGATCAGATTAATGCTTGAATTTCATTGAGAAAATACTTAATAGATAATGTTGCTCTGTTGCTTCAGGAGTCATATAAAGTCTGATCTTTTCATTTTTGTGATATTAGCTATTGGTGATCATTATTATATTAGAATTTGCAGTATGATGATTTTTGATTCCATTATTCCTTTTTTACTAGCTGGAATACTTCTATAGAAACACTGCTCATCAGTTATTTACCTATATATACTTTGTAATTTAGAAACCAGAGTTTGGACATAAAAGATGCTCATTTGCTCTTGAGTGCATTGCTGTTTCTAGACCTTTTTAGTGGGCAGAGGGAGGAGATTTTTTGTTGTCATTTGTTGGTTATGATTTTTTTTTTAGTGTTTCCAATTTAGACTAAGAACTTCATGATCTTTACTTATCACCACCAGTCTTGCATTGGTATCTCTTTTCTCCATTGCTGAAAATCCCAGTTCTCAGTTGTACCAACATAATTACTTGTTTTATTCCACAATCAGTAGGACAGTATTCATAGAATAACGATACCAACAATATGATTGTTACAATTTTTTAACATATAACCCACTAGATACCCAGTGAAATTCTTGTGTGTTAAAATCCTCTAATTGGTCATATTATCATTCTTACCTGTTTTATTTGGTAATGTTGACAATGTTGAGTATATTAAAATAAGCCTATATCATAACTTGTTGTTAGAAGTGTAAATCTGAGAAGAATTGCTGAGACACCAGCCATATTCTGTATTAAAAGCAGATATTATTCAAGTAATTCATGGGAATAAAAATGCAATTTTTTAGATGTATTTGAAATCTAGATTATTACCAAAATAAACTCTTAAAAATGAGTAGTTTTGGGGCTGGGGATGTGGCTCAAGCGGTAGCGCGCTCACCTGGCATGTGTGCGGCCCGGGTTCGATCCTCAGCACCACATACAAACAAAGATGTTGTGTCCGCCGAGAACTAAAAAATAAATATTCAAAAAAATTCTCTCTCTCTCTCTCTCTCTCTCTCAAAAAAAAAAAAAATGAGTAGTTTTTTTCTTGTTTGAAAAGGTTGAGGGGAAAACACTACGTCAAAAATTAAATCCAGCACTATCGTAATTAAAGTTAATTTTTAACTTTACCTTTAAAAATTATTTTCCAACTGTTGGGTGCCATATCACACACCTGTAATCCTAATGACTTTCGAAGATAAGGTAGGAGGATCACATATTCGAGGCCAGCCTGGGCAACTTAGGGAGACTCTGTCTCAAAATCAAAAGTAAAAAGTGCTAGGAATGTGGCTCAGTGGTAAAGCACCATTGGGTTCAGTCCTCAGTACCACAAAAAAAGAAAGAAGGAAAAACAATTTTCCTTAAATCTAACATATTTCCAGTGGTTTTGCTGGCCTATTTTAAGAGAAGTGCTATGTTTACAGGGCCTTTAAAAATCTGCTTGACTTTTACTGTTAACTCTGATATATTTTATCTTTGAAATGATGTTTCCTAGGAAAGAAGAGATTAAAAACTTTTGTCATTTGTATGGTGTCTAATCTTTTATTTGATTTTTAAAAATGGGGTGATAGCGTTTAAAAAATGTGTTGGTAGAATTAACCAAACTTTGTATTTTTTTACAGGTCCCTGAATGAGGTGACTTTATCGCTGATAATGGAGCAAGCCTGTAACTACAGCTTTCGGCTTATTAAATGTGAAAATAGAGTGATTAAGTTGAGCACAGATTCTTTCCGAGCACCACACTTGATGCCACAAGATGAAATAGGATCAGAAGCTAAAAGAATCAAGTTGACCTCTGATAGTAAGGAAGAAGAAAGGTTTGCTTGTGAACAACCATCTATGAAAACATATGTACAGATATTTACTGCTGTAACGTCTCTTTCACCACTTTTAGCATTCAATAAATTTTGTTGCATTGTGCTGCTACACATTAGGGAGAGAGAAAATGGTAGCTGTCCTAAAGATCATTATATTCCATGTGGCAGACTTTTTTTAAGTATAGAAGATCTTTCAAGTGGGAAATACTTAATGACGTTTCCAAAGAAGAAACCCATAGGTTTGTTGGCACTTTTTAATCAAATACTTAATTGAATCAGAAAATTTTAAGAACTGTTTATTTGATAATGGACAGTTTAATGATAGAAATTGTGACTTTTTCTTGTAGAGGACATGGAAGACCTTTTTGCACTTCTCACAACATTGCACAAATCTTGTATTCAAGTCATTTCACCTGCCTATTCCCTGAATTCAATGAAGATGTGGCTCTTAGATTGCATGAAATGTGAGGTAATCAAAGAATTTCCAGAAATGTGCTTTTGTAAAAGGCCAAGAAGTTTGTATGGGACACTCTTCAGCTGGAAACAAAGAACCCCATTTGAAGGCACTTTAACAGTCTATTCCAGGTAATGCATATTAAATTGGGATGTTAGTGTGTGTGTGAGTGTGGTGACCTTATGGTTCAATAGCTATCCCCTTGTAGAGTTCTGTGCTATTGTAGGGCATGTCAAGGGCATGTCCTGGTATAGAATGAATGGATAGGTATAGCCTCATTTTAAAACTGAAGATTTCTGCTTTAATTTTATGTTTGTTATTGACTTTTTAAAGAGCCTAGTAATTATTTTAAGATTTCTTTTTACCTCTTCATAGTGAAATTTTTTAAAAAAATATACTGATGTTAATGTTTAAAAGAAATTTAACAGGAAGCAGTTATTAACATGAACTGAATTGGTATTTTATATATATATATATATATATATCACATATATATATATATTTGATTGCTGCAGTCTGACTTTTATCAATGATTGCATGCATTTTTTGGTTCTCTACATCATTATAGTATATAAATGAATATCAATTGATTACTATACTATGCTGTATATGACTACTTTGTGCTCATCAAATTTTGTAATATTATATTTGGTTTTTATTTTAGGAATCAAACAGTTTTGTTCCAGTGCCTTCGTAATTTCATCAGAGTTCTCCCTATAAATTGTTCCTTCAAAAATTTAAAATTAGAAAATGAGGATTTCCTAGTTGATCATTTGGCATTGACTTTGGAGAAAGAACTGGTTACCCTTGGTTCTCTTTCTTCTTCTGCTTTAGCTAAGGTTGAAAGCAACTTTGTACAGATGTGTGAAGCAAACACAGGAAAGAGTAGTGTCATGGCTGCTTCAGCGGACAGGAAGGAAAAAATCCGTTTGTGTAGAGAAGAAGTTCAGCGAGAAAAGAAAATGTTGGAAAGGAACCTAAAAGTGAGTGGTGTCCTTTATAGAGAGATGACTTTAAAATTAGTTGAGATTCAGTTGCAGTCAGACCTCACTGCACAGAAACTAACCAGTTTATAATCACAATTTCAGTGTGATCATACTTGAAATTGTTTTCACTGCCATCAATTTTGGTTCTGCTTTATATGCCCCTTTTTAAAAATATTGAGGCTCATTGCAGTTCTTTTAGTTTTGATGATGCACAAAATAGTATTCCTTATAGAGCGGCAGTTTTCAAGTGGGGCTATTTTGCCTTCCTCTGCTCCCACCTTCCATTGCAAGGATCATTTAACTGTGTCTGGAGGCATGTTTTTGTTTGTTTGTTTGTCAGAAGTTGTAGGGTAGCATATTATATGGACAATCATAAAAACCAAAACAAGAAACTAATACTAGGGATATTGTGGCTGGATAATTCTTTGTGTTGGGGAGCTGTCCTGTGCATGTAGTAGGAATTTTAGCACCATCCTTACTTCTTTTACCTTCTAGGGATAGATAGAATGTACTGTAGGCATCTAGTGGGTAGTAAGTACCCCATGACATAATTACACAGTCCCAAATGTCAATAATGCAGAGATTGAAAAATCCTGTATTTACCACTGAAGTGAAGACAGATATAGTAGTATTTTTTTATCTAAATCTTTTTAAAAAAATTTAATCCTTTGCTTATATTCTGCTTAGTAAAACCTAGCATGTAAAAAAAATTCAAATGAATAAATTAAGCAAGATTGTCAGGATTCACAGGTTTCTGTAAATATTAAGCTCCTGTAGGAAGTTAAATGGCAGAGTATCTGAGTGAGACCAATTTTTGAAACACTTGTTAATTTAAATTTTATTAGAGAGCTGCTCTGAAATTGTGTAAAAATTTTAGGGCATTTTTCTGAAAAGCACATCCTTTCAAAAGGCTAAGTATACCTCACAGGCCACGATTAAAAATAAAATTGAAAATGCTTTTAAGCCATCTGAAATTCCAACTCTAGGTAAAGGTAAAATATAAAATTGCAACTAAAATAATTTAAAGAATATGGTGCTCCTTAGGGACAGAGAGATTTAGAAATAAGTGAAAATTCACTTCAATAAAGAAGTGATTTATAAGGGATACACTGAGAGACATTTCAAAGGGATAAAAATTGAACCTAGTCTTTTTTCTTTTTTTGAAAAATAAGAATTTTTGACTAATAACAGTGTCAGGAGAAAGAAAAGACACCAAAAGGTATGAGCAGGAAGAAATGTTCCTGATCCTTTTTACTCTAAAATCCTTAAGTGAGATGCAAGTTTCCATCTCAGTTGAAAGAAATACAGATGATTATAGGAAGTGGCATCTCATGCTTGAAGCTATGAAGTGCTTATTCCCCCTATGCCATAGAAGTGCTTGTGTCTAATGATCTGGTGATATAAATGTTTTTTGGAGAATATAGGTTATTAGTTTCTTGTCTTGATTTTTATGATTGTTCGTATAATATACTACCTCTTTTTGAAAGTCCATTGGCAATTGAGATAGAACTCTACAGCCCTATTTCTATGAAATGCCATTGGAAAATATTTCAAATGTTCTGCAGATGGAAATGGAATAAATTCAGGATTAATTATAGAAATCTGGAAATAGTATGTATCATTTGTTATCTTTTGAAACTGACCAGGTCAAGTTCTGAAAGAACAAGCAAGTATAAAATACAGTAACCAATTGTAAAATTGAGGCTGTCAAATACTTAACAGGATTTAATTTTGATAGTTTATCTGTAGAGAAAGTTGTGATACTAACAAATAGCACATTACATATTTTTATTTATAAATAACAGTCAGTACTATATGTGAGTGTATGTATATACACCAAATACCTTTTTGACAAGTGAGTTTTGTATTTTAGTATGCTTTTCCTACTAACTGCAAACTAGGCAAGCCTAAGTTTGAGGAGTTGATACCCTTGCATTTTCACGATTAAGCTGTGTTTGCATCTGTAAACAAATCCCATTGACCTCGACCCTGTTTACACATCTGAGGTTCCTCTCAAAAACATAATCCTCCCAAATTTATAGTGCTAAATTCAAACCAAGTTTTTTTTTTTTAGGAATGGAGCTCTCCATAGTTTTCAGCAAAAATAATCATCTATTGGCTTCTGACTCCATTAAGTAAGGAATATGTTCAACTCAATGTATATTCAGTTCAGTAACTATGCTTAGTAAAGGGGCAAGTAATGTACAGTTTATTGACTGTCAACCTCTATGTCAAAGTAACCACGAAACATACACTCATGTGAGCATGCATGTGGATGAACACACACACATACACATACATACACATATGCAATTTGTATATACACATGGTTAATTCTTCACAGCAGTCCATGAAGTATAGTTATTAGTGTTGTCCTCAATATGAAAAAAAATGTTAATTTAAGGGGATGCCTAAAAACACCTTGATCCTGTATCCTTGATGTGAATTATTTTAATAACAGCAGAAGGGCTGGGGATATAGCTCAGTTGGTAGAGTACTTGCCCTTGCATGCACAAGGCCCTGGGTTCAAACCCCAGCATCACACACATGCGCGCGCACACACACACACACACACACACACAAAACAAAAACAAAAAACAAAAAAGCAGATACTTTAAGAAATTTAATAATATGCAAGTGAATCATATTGTTGTAATAACATCTCTTTATACCATTTACAATTGACCAAGTTTTTCCCCAGTGTCAGAAAGGAAAAGATGTAGTTTACATCTCTATTTACTCTCTCCAATAAAATAAAAAATTGAACTGTTTAGGCTAGAAGCCTGTGTAGAGCTTTCCTTCCTTCCTTCCTTCTTCCCTCCCTCTTTCCTTCCCTTTTTTCTCTCCCCCTCCCTTCCACCTGGATAGTACTAGACATTGAGAGGAATCCTTTTTTGTTTTGCAAAAACATTATTTTCTGTGCTCAGAATTTAAGAGTGTAATCTCTTTCTTGGATAACTGTATCTTGTGGAACTTTAGGCTTTTACTTCTAAAGACAGCCTCGTGCAGTGGAAAGAATGTTGACACATAAACAGTATACTTAATTGAATTCTTTAGGGGTTTGTTCTGTTTTCCATTTTTGAATTTTCTATATCTACTACTTGAATTGCTTACTGCCTCAACAAAATAATGCTCTCCTATAAAACCTGCTGTTATGCATATTTTTGCCGTGCTGAGTCTAGGTACTTTTTAAACACTTTTTCAGTAATCCTGTCAATTTGACTTTTTGTTTAGTAGGATGCCAGGTCCTATTTGGGTGCTGAACTTTCATAAAGGCATTACATTAGATAACCACAGTCTCTTCTTTTTAGATTTTTTTTTTCTGTGCCATACTCATGAGCAGCTGTGTTGGACAAAGTACCTGGGCATGTAATTATAGTTAAACATCGCAGCCCTGGGTTCAGCTAGAGGGTTTACCATCCTTAACTTCATTTTTAATTATCTGTTTCCCCACAGCAATAGCCACTTACGTCAGAATATAAGTGGTGTTATGGCGAATAAAGCATACCGTTAGTAATTAGTCCAAACATTTAGCTGGATACCATTTAGTCAGGAGATAAAAGTATAGCATGCTCTGTTGACTGCCCCTTGCACATCTTATTTCTCCTCGTTTTTTCAATACCAGAACTCTCATTCATGAAACTTTCTTTCCCACTGGTTGCATAATTGGGGAGGAGGACCCCAATTCTAAGCCTGTCAATATAACACCTTTCATTGACAGTCATTACTGATCTGGTGCAAAACCACTCCATTGGGACTAGTCATATTGAAGTGAAGGACTTGGTTCTTTGTTGAGGAAGAGACACTTGCTAGAAGTAAGTTGTTCTAATTTTAAAATTTGAGAGTTATGTTAGAGTCACAAGGAAATTAAATCTCCGAGTGAATTTGACACCGGACCTCAACATTTTTATTGTTGTACCCCTGAATCAAACCTAAATTCTGTTTTTTCCCTGGATTGCTGATTGCTTCAGAAAAAAAGATCCTCATGACAGAAATCAGAGTTTCTGATACTTGCAGCTGAAATTGTTTCAAACTGCTAGAAATTGGGAAAAGAATTTTAGAGAATAAAGCACATGGAGTACAACAACAGAAACCATTTACTATAAAAACAGAATGCTTTCACATTTAAAAAACATGCCTACCCTGATTTCTGGGTAGTGACTCACTCCCCTTCTCTAAGTTTATAATTCAAACTACTACATATTTGATAGCAGTATATACTTGAAATAAACATTTTAAGTTTTTAAAATTTATCTTATTTTTTTTTCCTTTGTATTAGGCCATTCCAGTTGTTTTCTTATGCCTTCCTTATTGGGGTAAAGGCATATGCTGATTCTTTAACCTATTTCTCAGTATTTCCTATTTTATTTTATTTTTTATTTTTTAGGGCTGGGGATGTGGCTCAAGTGGTAGCACGCTCACCTAATTTCCTATTTTAAAATAAAAATTATAAATATAAGGACCATATCTGTCCAGTTTGTTTCTTAGATATGTGAAGAATTCTTACTTTAAATTCTCATTTCTTCTGACAACTGTTCTCTTATTCTTAGCTACATCCTCTTCAGTAGGAAGAGGAAGAAATCTTTATCAACTGTTACTTTTGAAGGAGTCTTTGCTAGGAAAAACAAATTTGATGTCATAGGACTGTTTGGGAAGTAAAGTAGTGTTGCTATGTCAAGAGATACAGTATTATTAATTTAGAACTTACAGCATTTTCAAAGATAACAGATATATACATGGAGTGAAAGATAACCCTTTCTGATTCCTTTCTAATCTCATCATAAAAACAAGGTGATGGTAATTTTTCCTGTGGTTTTGTGAGCCTGATGAGATATTTTAGGGTTTAGAATGGCTGAGTAATTTGTCAAGTGCAATAATAAAATCCTCTTGATTTATCCAAACAGGAAATTAATATATTCCAACACTTAAAAGATTCTGATAAAAAGAATAAAAACATTGGCATGTGTTTGTGGAAGATAGAGTCTGAAAGAAGCCAGGATCAAATGTGTTACAGTTGGCAAAATCATCAGAAAAATAAAACCTAAGTATGTTGTACATGCATTGGTCTTAGGAAGGGCAGGTGGGGCTTG